GGTATTTACCAAATCAAATATTTTCCCATGTTTTTGTGTCTTCTGCACGTTCTTTGGTCCGAAATCACAGAATACCCGACCGGGTATATGGAATACCCGACCGGGTATTTGCTAGTTTTGCAGCAGTTTCCTTTGTCACTTCATACCCGGCCGGGTAAAGTCCATACCCGACCGGGTTTTGCACAAAACTCAGGTTTCTTCATCATTTTTGCTTCCAAACCTATCCTAAACTTATAGCCAAACTAACTACAACTTACAACAAACAATAAAATGCTAGAAATACGATTACAATCAAATGCAAACTAACAACTATAAACTTGCACAAAGCTAGTAAATAAACATTACAAACAATAATAAAAATGTATACTTAGGCACTAACAACTAGTGCCTATCAGCGACACTTTAACGTTTTTCACTTTCCGAATTTACCCTTACCCCTTATTGTTACCCGTACCCTACCCGTTCCGCCATACCCCTAACATGCCCCATACCATACCCTACCTTACCCAAACCTTAGCACCACCCTCGCCCGCCTTTAACCTACCCCTAAACCTTACCTCTACCCACCCTCGCCCTACCCCTAAATTACCTTACCTTACCCGACCCCACCCCTACCTAACCCCCACCCTAACCCCTACCCCTAACACCTACCATAACCTTTTACCCTACCCTCACCCCTACCCCGACCATACCCCTTTACCCCACTCACACCCCTACCCGTCCTCGTACTCGTACCCCTTACCCCCTAGACCAACCTCGTACCCCTACCACCTTCCCCTACCTCGACCCTACCCTAACCCCCGTACCCCCTATCCCACCCTAACCTTTACCCCTACCCTAACACCTTAACCACTACTCTTTGCATACCCCTACCCCTACCACGACCTACCCCTACCACAGCCATACCACTATACACTATTCCTATCCCTACCTACCCTCACCCTTACCCCTACTTTATCCCCACCCTTACCCCAGCCATAGGGGGTAGGGTAGGGGTACGAGCGAGCCTATTGGTCAAGGAAGGGTACGAGTACGAAGTAGGGGGTAAGGGGTAGGGGTACAAGGGTCAAGGATACGAGTAGGGGTTAGGGGGTTATGGGACAGTGAGTATTGTAATACTCAAGATAAATTTAAATGGATTAATGGTACTACTCATAGCAACAAGATGTATCTCCTTTTAAGGGAGCTTATCTCGTAAGAACTCCAAGTTAAGCGTGCTTGCACGTGAGTAGTCTTGAGATGAGTGACATCGTGGGAAGTTTCTCAAGGCGCGCACGAGTGAGGGCAAAGTGCGCGTTAAAGGTTTGTGATTGGTTTGTGAGAATAATACTTGAGGTCTTTAGAGTAACTACCTCGGGCCCTGCGGGGGCCGGGGTGTTACAGGTATGGGCATACAAGTAAGAGGTCATGGGGTAGGGGTCAAAGGGTATGGTGTGGAATTGGGGGTGGGGTGTAGGGTGTAGGGGTTGGGGTGGGATACATGTAGGGGGGGCTTAGAGGTAGGGGTATGTGTACGCGCACGAGGTGACCTCCCACGCATTATACTATACTCCCTCCGTTCCCAAAAATACTTCCCACTTTTCTTTTTGGGCTGTTCCCAAAAATACTTCCCACTTTCCCCTTTTGGACAATTTGTTTGGCTCACATTCATTTTACCTTTTTCTTACACAACCACAACCATACATTTCCACTTTATTCCACTTTCTTAATAAGCGTGCCAAGTCAAACCGGGAAGAATTTTTAGGAACGGAGGGAGTATATACTTGTGTACATGAATGCTTCTGTGTCTATATATAGGGTTATTTTGGACATTTAAATGTTAAACTGTTTTTAAATTCTTTGAAGTAAAGATCAACTTACAACCAGTTGTTTTAGGCTATGTTTGGCATTGCCACTAAATCTAAAAAAGGACTGAAATTCTTTAAATTCAGTTAATTATTCTAAGAGTAGCCGTATTTGGAAGGAGAACTGAATTGAGCTTAAATTGGAAAAAATTGACCGGAGTGAAACGTTGCCAAAGCTAACATTTCTATTCAGCCGGTTGCGTTCTAGTCCTTTCTATCGATTCTACCCTCCGTAGTATTTTGTCCAACTCCATGGAGCAACCTTTGCTCCTCTCCTGACACTCCAAGAGTCTGCAGCCGATTGTCTTCATCGATATTGCCGGACAATATTTGCTCCATTGTCCGTCCGAACTCTCACTACTTCTTCTCCATGTCTGTAACAAAAATCAGTTGATCCAAATCTCCATTGCCGAATCTGAAGGTGTTCGATTTTCCCGTGCGTCTTTGCTTCGGTGCAGAGGTGTTCGCTTTCCGGCCATAAATCGATGAACGATAGAAGCCATCTTGCCAAAGCCCAATCCCTACTCGCCCTCCCCAGCATCAATCGTAAACTAGGACGATAGGGAGAAATTCAACGTCGTCCTTTGCCCCGTCGCGAAGTAGAACTTCAGTCACAAAGGCGTTGCCGGCCACACCAGGAAGAAGACGACCACCTCTGTGTTTTCGATATGTCGATTTCTGCAAATTAGCTACTCCAAATAGCAAGTGACAGTGGCACATAGCTGCATCGGTGATGGGTCGAAGATGAAGCAAGTGGTAGCAGAGATGAAGCAAGTCATTCTTGCCTTTTAACTTAAAAAAAACTAAAATCAATGTTTGTAACAACTTCTGTTAAAAAAAGTGCTTCTCCACTTTTGTGTGAAAAGTTCTTTTTTTACTTTCTCTATTATACAAAAAACACTTATTTTACCAAACACTATCAAGATTATGTTTGGCACAACGAGTTGTAGCTGGAGGCTAATGTCTAAATTAGGAGCTATTGTCTAAATGAAAGACTATTTTTTGAAGCTGAATTAAGAAGTGCTGATTCTGAACTATTAGGTGAATGAAAAAATCTGTTGGGCAAAAAAGTTAAAAAATGCTTGTTAGTACGAAATTACATTAAAGGACGTATAATTTATTAATACGAAATACATAATATAACTAAACATTTATTATAATAATTTTTATATTTTATTAAAAATTACAAAAAAAATATTTTAAATAAAAATTATATAATTTATTAATATGGAATATATCAAAACATTAATTATAATAATTTTATATTTTAATAAAAATTAAGATTGTAGTGTGTGTGTGTGTATGGGTAACAAATTCTTCCATAAATGCATATCGCCACTTTAGTAATGTAACGGTAAGCATTTTCAACACTACCCGAAACACATGCAGATGGAGGAGTTTTTTCCCATTGAGGGGTGTTTTTCAAACTTATTTCCCAAATTAAGGTACTTTTAAACTTATTTCCCAAATAGGGGTATTTTTTGCCATGTCACCTCAGTATCAGTGCTGGGCGCCACATAAGCTTATCCACATCATCCCATCAATTCCATGTCATCAATTTTGAGAGTTTAAGTGTGCTTCTAAAATACAGAAAAAAATGAAGCTAACAGGATTTGAACCTGGGTGGAACACAAGAAAGGCATGTACTTAAACCACTACACTACATCATTCACTTGTTAACAAATGCCTTTTAAGAAGTATACATCATGTATCCTTCACCCCGGGAGTGCACTATTTCTTAATCGCATGTATTATTTGTTCCTTTAGAAATACGAAGTATATTTCTTCCTTTCCCAAACAATTAAAAATATAACAATAAAAAACTTATAAAATAAAATAAAATAAAAGTAAATTTCATGCTAGTCCACTTTAAATTCTATAAAAGGTTTAATATTAATGTAAAATATCGTATAAATTTTTCTTTATGAAAATTCTCTAACAGCTTAATTTTGTTCAGCCTCAGCTCGACTCCGCCTCGGAACCAAGCATTTTTCGTTTATAAATTTATCAAGTTTTTTCTTTCTTAGATAAATATTATATGATTTTCTTGACATGAATAGTATCTGATTTTAAATTGGGGTGGGTTAGAGCCTTTCATAACATTTAGTAACAATAAATTTTAATTAAGTCTTTATTTTTAATTATCACAAACCTAGTATTTTGCGTAATTTTTTAATTATTTTTAAAAGAAGCTATATATTTTTAAAGCAATGAGTAATACACAGCTAAATGTATACATTCTTGGACTTAAAGTATTTGTATTGCAAATTTCACTAAAATTTAACATGTTACAATTTAGTTCAAATTTGAGTGTTGTATTTGAATTTGAAACAATAATAATCAATGAGAAGATTGAACCGAGTCCAGAAGAGTTGAGCTGCTATAATGAAATAATCACAACGAAAAGCTTAGTTTGCGATATTTAATTCTATAAAAATGTAATTTAAATTTATAAAAAAATTGAAGTATATAATTTAAAAGTTATTTGAAATAACTCAAAAGTAAATAAAATAAAAAATAAGTAAATTTCATGCAATAAGTAACTTAGAAATAAGTAACTCAGAAATATGACTTTTATTTTAATTGATTTTATTTCATTTGAAGCTAAGTTATTTAAAAAAATACATATTCCAAATTGTGTTTTGTCATAATAAGTTTAGATTAATTTTTTGTATTCTAAGTTAAATATTTCTTTATTTTTCAAATTAAATTAGCAAATTATGTTTTTATTATAAGTTTTAATAAGATTTTTAATTGAATAACTCAAATTCAGTTTTTTATTATTACATTTTTTATTGTTTGGTAAAGAGAGATATTTCTAAAGGAACGAATAATACATGCGATTAAGAAATAGTGCACTCCCGTGATGAAGGATACATGATTTATACTTCTTAAAAGGCATTTGTTAACAAGTGGATGGTGTAGTGTAGTGGTTCACATACATGTCTTTCTTGTGTTTCACTCAGGTTCGATTCCTATTAGCTTCATTTTTTTCTATATTTTAGAAGCACACCTAAACTCTCAAAATTGATGACATGGAATTGATGGGATGATGTGGATAAGCTGATGTGTCGCCCAGCAGTATTACTGAGGTGACATGGCAAAAAATACCCTTATTTGAGAAATAAGTTTAAAAGTACCTTAGTTTGGGAAATAAGTTTGAAAAACTCTCCATGGAAAAAACTCCAGATGGAGGAAGATCTGGAAATTTGCGGAGACGGCTGTTCGGAGCTTCCGAAACATTCCCGTAAAATAGGAAAATCGCCAGTGAAGCAGACTACTCCGGCTAAGAAGGTTCCAAGTAGCAAGGGAAGTGAGGAAAAATCGGTTCCTGAGCGGGGAAGCATTGAAAAAATTGCAGCTTCAGCTGAGGAGAAAAAACCCGGCCATTGTTGCCGGAAAACGAGGAAATTGACTGACATTGTTGAAGGTAATGGAATTTCAGTCAATAAGAAGAAAAAGTCTGTAGGGAGCAGTGGGCATGGCAAGAAAAGAAACACGGCAGGTGATGGAGAAGACAAGGCAACCGAGAGTCTGAAGGAAGCTGGTAAAAAGGGGAGAGTGAAAAAGAATAGGAAGAAGAAGGGGTTTGACAACCGTTCGGAAGATGAAGAAAGAGGTCGGCTTAAGAATGGAAATGAGGCAAATAAGAAGAATGACAACAATGTAAGATTTGATCTTTTGAAGACTCGATTCATTCATTCATCCATTCATTTTTTGACATGTGTACATTTGAATTTGACAGGGGAAGGGAGTTGAATCAAACATGTGCCACCAATGTCAGAGGAATGACAAAGGACGGGTTGTTCGCTGCACCTCCTGCAAAGCGAGGAGATATTGTGTGCCTTGTATCAAAAGATGGTATGCTTCTTTCTATTGTGTGTGATTTACTTTTACCTGCTCACTTCTTTTAATGAATCATATCAACAGTAGTAATGGGAGCACTCCTTATAAAGTGTTTGTGCAAACTTTTGTTGAGTGATTTTAATTTCTGCCATGAAAAAGGTACCCTCGTATTCCAGAGGAGGCTTTTGTGGAAAAGTGCCCTGCTTGTCTCCACATTTGCAATTGCTCATCATGCCTTCGACTAGACAGGCCCCTAAGGGTGATTTCACTTTGCTTCTCTTGATTCTTGTCTAAATCGATGCTTTCCCTTGGATATGATTTGCATGTACTATTACGAGTTCACATTATATCTTCCTCTTATAGAACAATCAAAAAATTGAAGTCAGCAATGTGGAGAAGGTGCAGTACTCGAAATATATCTTGCTAGTGCTTCTACCTATCTTGAGACGAATAAATGAAGAACAAATGATGGAAAAGGACATTGAAGCAAAGATTCAAGGTAATTCTCTAATTCTCTTGCTTGGAAATTCGAGTGGCATAATTTCAGATGGATGGTTCTAGCATACACACACACGCTCACATATAAATGTTTACTTCATATTAAGTATGCTGAAGTATGATGCTTTGGTCCCCCAGTGTAAAGTTCAATCTTTGTCTCCCCTAATACAATACTTCTAGCTCCGACACTGGGTCCTTGTGCAATGAAAAAGTATTTTATGATCCTTGAATGATATAAGCAACTGTAGTAATTTTCGTGTAGGGGGTTTTCAATACAAATTGCTTCACTATACATTATAATTGCACATATTAAAATTCTTCCCGGACTATTGTTGCACTGTAAAAAAAGCTAAGTTTATCTTCATTTTGTTCCCTTCCTAAGGAGTATCACTTTCAGAGTTAGTAATAGAGAAAGCAAACTGCCACCGGGAGGATCGGTTGTATTGGTATGTTATCCATATACAGCCTGTACTGCATACTTAAACTTTAAAGTTTAAAATATGGTCCTACTGCAAGCTAATTCTTTGTTTTTTGACATGGTTTCTGCAGTGACTGCTGCGAAACATCTATTGCTGATTTTCATAGAAGCTGTTCAAACTGTTCCTATGACCTTTGCCTTACTTGTTGCCAAGAGCTCAGGAATGGTCATCTGCAGGGAAATGTAAGAGAATTTATCATGCCATATATTGACCATGATCTGGATTGCTTGCATGGAATTGAGCCAAACTCTGCTAAAGTGAAATCAAGAGAAAATGCCAACAGGCACTATCCACCAAAGATGCTTGATGGCCACTGTAATGAATGGGAGTCTGAAGAAAATGGCAGAATTTTTTGTCCACCCGAGATTATGCGTGGTTGTAGTAAGGGAACTTTAGAACTTAAACATATCTTTGGGGTCAGTTATGTCACTAGGTTATTAGAAAAAGCAGAAGAAACAGCTATGTCATGCAATTTGAATGATATGCTTGAAAGTTCTCAGAGGTGGTGCTCTTGTTCAAAATCAGTAGATGAAAATATCATTGATAACACTAAATTACGAAAAGCAGCTTGTAGGAAGGATTCTGAAGACAATTATTTGTACTCTCCTGTTGCCAAGGACATTCAACATGAGGATCTCAAACACTTTCGATCACATTGGCTTAATGGTCAGCCTGTCATTGTCAGTAATACGCTAGAATGTGCTTCAGGGTTAAGTTGGGAGCCTATGGTAATGTGGCGTGCTTTTCGCCAGATAACAAATCTAGTCCGTTCTCAACATCGTAATGTCATTGCTCTTAACTGCTTAGACTGGAGTGAGGTAAGTATATATATTGCAGCTACTGTCCGGGATTATTTTCTTTTTAACTGCAAACAGCTACTGTCCTGATTCATTTTCAATTTGCATGTACTCTGTATTAATTATTTATCGTAACATGCAGGTTGAGACCAACACCCACCAGTTTTTTGAATGGTATATGAAAGGTAAAACTGATACGTCCGAATGGCCTCTGCTTCTCAAGTTGAAAGACTGGCCTCCATCAGTTAAACTTGAAACGTGGTTACCTCGTCATTATGCTGAGTTCGAAAACTGCCTGCCTTTCAAGGAATATACAGATCCTAAACATGGCTACTTAAATCTTGCTGTTAAGTTGCCATATGACACCGCAAAACCAGAGATAGGAGCGAAGACATATATAGCTTATGGTTTTCCAGTGGAGCTGGGGCGTGGAGACTGTTTAACTAAATTGCACTGTGATATATGTGATGTGGTATTAACTGTTCTTTTCTAATTTTTTGGTGCCCTTTCGGTGCTCTCTTGGATAAGATGCTTTTTCTTGTACTAGAGTAGCTACAGTGTGTAATTCCATCAGGACTTGTATTTATATATAAATGCTGCATAAAATGTGGTTTGTATGCATACTTTGTCACTTGGGCATTATTCAGTTGTCAGGTTTTACTATTTCATGTGTGCTTAAATTTGTAACAGGTGAATGTCTTGACACATACTCAAGGAATAAACCCAACACCAGAGCAACTTTCAAATATTGAAAAATTGAAGATGGGTTATGCCACCCGAGATAAAAAGGAACCGCAGACAGTTCATACGAATGAGAGTGAAAGTGGCATCGTCAATGGGTGTATGTTATCATCCTCTGATGCACTTGAAGGCACTGATGGTGCTCTCTGGGACATCTTCAGGAGGGAAGATGTCCCTCAGTTGGAAGAGTATCTGAAGAAACACTTTAAAGAGTTCACGCATACTAACTGCTCCCCAGTGTCGATGGTATTATGTGTTGCAACTTTCTATTCTCAATTGGGTGCATGATGCTTTTGAAGGAGATAAATTTTCTCTTTTACTTTGGCGGATTATTTCCTTGATTTATCTTTTATTCTTTAATAAAAACCATGTAATCATCTTTATTCTATTCTTTTAGGTTGTTCATCCTATTCATGACCAAACCTTTTACTTGACTGTTGAGCATAAAAAGCGGCTAAAAAAAGAACATGGTTAGGCTTGTGTTGTATAGTTCTTAGTTTCTTACCTAAATGCATGATTTTAAAAAAATGGTTTGATGCATTGTATATACAGGGATTGAACCATGGACTTTTGTTCAGAAGTTGGGAGATGCTGTTTTTATTCCAGCAGGCTGTCCTCATCAAGTTAGAAACTTGAAGGTATGTTAGCTTATTTTTGTGTTCGAATTACTTCACTAAGATGATGATGTCAGCTTTTAATTCCTTTTTATTGTCTGTCCAATTTCTCTGAAGAATGTTCATATCATAGTGTCCTTTTTGTTTTTACTTTGATTTTCCTTGCTCTAATCTAATGACGATGATCTACTTCTGCTACTCGTATCAGCCATGTATAAAAGTTGCTATGGACTTTGTCTCTCCTGAAAATGTTCTAGAGTGTGTGCGGTTGACTGAAGAATTCCGAACTCTTCCCCAGAATCACAGGTCCAAGGAAGATAAACTTGATGTATGATTTCTGTTGACACAGATTTCTCACATATGCATCTTTTTATTGTTTCTCTCTATTGCGTTTATCATTCTAGTGTGGGTGTAGTGTATTTGTTTGTAACCGTAAAACAAAAGTATGGGTAGGAAACCTAAAGTTTGTTAAGAGCTTGTAAGCCCATAATAGATGGATTTAATGGGAAAGAAGTGGGTTTTTAGTGTCCTTGTAAGGCATCTTGTTCTAAAACGTGGAATATCCCATGTCCCATACCGAACCCCCGAGTCCCTCTCCAGTCTGCCTCAAGGTATGCAGAGTGGAGGCTAGTCACGATACCGATTAACCTCTTAGCAAGTGTGATGACCCTATTTTAAATTCACCCTGTAACGGGTAGTAAGGTGGGAGGTCAACACCCTATGTGCGCTTGGGTGGAGGACATTGGAGTTGTTCTATATCATGATATATTCTTGAGTTTTTATAAAACATAAAGATTAACAAAAAATGTGATCACATAACATTTCAATCACCTTTAATTTGTTGTTCACTGTCTGGTTTGACTGTTAACACTGTTAACTTTGACTTCATCTGCTAATACAGTTTTAGCATTGGTTGAAGTTATGGTTGATAGTATTCTCTGATAAACTTGTTAATAAGTAGATGTAGACCTAAATACTGTGCACATAAGCGTATTCATATGCTTTACTGTGACCTGTACTTGTAAAAAGAAAAAAATCAGAAAAAATCCAAGCACAACAGATGGCTTTCACTTTAATAATGTTCTTACGGAACAGGTGAAGAAGATGGTCATTCATGCAGTCAATGAAGCTATAAAGGATTTGAACGACTTGAACCTGTAAGTATAACGCTCACTTGAATGCTTTTCAACAGTTCATCCGTGTCTCTGATTATTGCTTGCTAGCGTAGACAGTTAAGTGAATAAATTATTACATGTTTTAATGTTTAGACCATATCGATCATATGGATCTTAAAGCATTGGTCTTCTATGATAGTCACTCTCACCTGAGTTGCTTCTACACTACTGTTAGTGATAACTATACATCAAGAAATCATATGTTACCTGACTTGGGACCTGTTTATTTGGACTAGTACTTTGTGGTCTGAACTTGTATGGTCTTTTCAATTTGATACTATGTTCTGTACTTCTGTGCTATTTTGGACGAAAAGAAAGTCAAGTGAACAGATATAATGAGATTATTGCTCTCTTGATTGTGCATTCACATTTTATGTTCTTGTTGTAGGGCTACCCTACGACTAAGATGATTTGCTCAGGATATGAATGCGTATGGAGTTGTTGATATGTGCTTCTGATAACAAAAACTTGAACGATGACGTAATTATGGGATGTGGGGTTTTTGAACTTTGAAGTTCCCACTGGGGCTTTTTTGACTAAACTTTTGCTTAGTATGAAAGTATGCTTCCTACCATTAGCATCCGTACTTCGACTCTTTTTTTGAAAATGTCAGTAGTTTGACTTGAAACACACTAATTGAAGGGAAGTGAGAATTACAAAAGTAGCACGTGAGTACGTGACAAAGGGAAATGGCACTTTCACTTCCTGGCAACATTGAAATGTAGTTACCATGTTTTCAATTTTGTAAATGTCATTGTCAATTGTCTATTTTTTTTAAATATGCTCCTTGCTGCTAAAATTGAACTAACACCTTACTTTTCTTAATATTGATTTTCAAAGAAAAATACAATAAAAAGTGGTAAGGAGAAAGTTGAGCAAATGGGAATATAAATAACACGTACTTTTCCAAATGGTCGACATGTTGAAATGTCAGACCTGTATTTATGAGATTGTAATTATCACCCCTCAATTTTTCAAATTGTTGTAAATGTAGTCTTTTAAGGGATGAAATGTACTCCTCACCTACATTGTACATTTCACCCCTCAAAGGATCACAGTTACATCAATTTGGACAATTGAGGGGTGACATGTACAAACTAGGGAACACAGGTCTGACATTTTAATATGACTGTGGAACAAATTTTAATGACGACTATTTGAGACTTGAGAGACTACAAGTGCAATTTCCCCTTCCCAAATACAATAAAAGCAACGACATTATTCCATGGCAATCCTCTCTAACAGAAGTTGATCATTCACTTTATACTATACATATAACATATATATGTATAATAAAAAGGAACTATTATTACATGAGTTTATTGTTAATATAAATTTCTAATAAAATGACATCGTAGTACTAATTATTTCTGGTCATCAAACTAGAATTGTGATTGAAGATACTCAATAATTTTGGTGTCAGCCTGAAATGCTTTAGTGAGAACATCCGAATCGATGGGTGAATTAGATCCGAAAACAGCATTGCCAATTGTAATAACTCCTGGATTTTGGCTACTTAAGCCAGATAAGGAGACAACATTTGACTTTCCGATGTTGTGTTGGAAATGAATAAGGCCTTGTGGAAACACAAAAACATCTCGAGGGTATAATGTCTTAGTAAAAAGCTTGTTCTTCATTCCTTGTTTAGGATTAGAAAGGACGAATCCAACGTATAGAGTTCCCTTCAAGACCACAAGGACTTCAGATGCTCTAGGGTGGGTGTGTGGAGGAACGACCCCGTTTGGAGCAAAATCAATACGAGCTAGTGAAATGCCGAGAGTGTTTAACCCAGGTAGGGTATCCACAGTAACAGCTGAAATTGCGGATCCAAGCTGATTTGATGTATTTCTAGGTTTGTTAAGACCCGTTGAGAGAAAGAAGTCCCCAACATCGACATCTGTTGGATTCTTGTAGATTTTTCCATTGACAAACACTGCCGTAGTACACATATAAACGAGTAATAGTCAAGGAAAAGTAACAAATCACTTTCCTAAATACAAATAAATATAAGATCTCTTATAAATGTAGGATTACTTTAGAACAATTTTAAAAATATAATCTGATGTCTATACAAATCCATAGGCTTTTTTTATGTTCAAGATGATCATACATTAGAAACTCAAAGTAATAAACCATGAAGAAGCACTAAAAGATGAATAGCATGAATATAACCTACTCCATTACTCCCTCCATATTATTTTGTTTGCAACATTAGGCCGGTTTTATGGTTATGAAAAAATAGTAGCAACTTCACATTAAAGGGAAGTGTTACAAGGATTAAAACACTGTTGAAAAAAAACAAGGAAGAAAACGTAAGTTAGAGTAAAAGGTACATGTATTTACATATTTGAGTAGATAAAACTTCACATTAAAGTGAAGTGTTACAAAGATTAAAACACTGTCCGAAAAATAAAGTGTTGCAAAACAAAAGAACACAAAGGGAGTATATACCAAAACTAACAATAAATTTTTCACCTCATTAGGCTGTTTCAAATTTGATTGGGACGTGAAATAAAAAGTAATGATTATATATGTGCAAAGAATCGGAATAATTATATTAACATCAAACTAATTACTTTTTTGGGCCAATAATTAAAGAAATACTCCCTCCGATCCCAAATGAAATTCACACTTTGACTTCACACAAATTAAGGAAATAAATTTGACTTTACTGTAGAGTACACTGTTGTGACACTGTTTGGTACTGTTTTGCACTGTTTTGATTTAGATAATTTGCCAAATAAGGAAGAGAGAAGAAGTGTGAAGTTTATTTTGGACCAATCCAATAAGGAAAGTGTGAATTTCATTTAGGACCGGAGGGAGTATAATAAAGTTTAATGGAATGGAGGCAATGTATACTAATATATGTTTATTTGCTCACATATTGGGAAAATCGCATATATGATCCCTCAATTACTCACGAAATTAAAATCTCAGACCTGTATTTCTGAGATTGTAAACGTCACCCCTCAATTGTCCAAAATGTTGTAAATGTGGTCCTTTTGAGGGGTGAAATATACAATGTGGACGAGAGTACATTTCACCACTTAAAATGACCACATTTACAACAATTTGGACAATTGAGAGGTGTCATTTACAATATCAAAAATACAGGTCTGATATTTTAATTTCGTGGATAACTGAGGGATAAAATATTTTTATATAGAGTAAGCCTAGGCAGCAAGCTAAGGCTCACCCCCAAAGCTTTTTTGAAGCAGAAAACAAAAAATCATACTCCTTATATACTCTAAATTGGAATAGTGTTGATCCATAAAAAGTGCACATAAATTTGTGGTGGGACTACATTCTAAAAGCATAATTTATTACCACGCATTACATATGATGATAGACATAATTAATTAAAGTTCAAAGTGACACTAATTAATGAAACTTAATTGAGTATATGAGATATATATATAATTATATATATATATACCACCAGTCTTGGAATCATTAATTGCAACACAAAAGTCCTGTAATTGACTGGGATCGGATGCACTACCAAAAGAAGCATTAGTAGCCAAAATAGCAAAGATAACGAAGAACCGAAAAGCCATATCTTCTGCTAAGTAGAATGAAATGTGTGGAGGATTATTGATGATAGAATAAGAGGTAGGGGAGAGTATATTTATAGATCAGTACGTTAAGTTCTCTGATTTAGTCTTCATTACTATCAATTAAGTCCGCTCTGATCTAGCAGATATATTTACTAAAAGTTTATCTAGTCAGCAATTTCATTTTTTTAAAAGATAACTTACGCGTTATATCTTCCGCACAGCTTGAGGGGTGTAATAGTTTATATTAATTAGAGAAAACTCTCAAATAGACCCTCATACTTTGGCCAATTCTTCAATTAAGCCCTCATAGTTTCGAATCACTCAATCAAGTCCGCCTACTCACAAAAACACTCAATCTGCCTTTTTAGCCGGTTGACAACCGGTTAGCCAGTTAATGGCTGACATGGACTCTAACGTGTCCCTCCCTTACTCAGTCATTTACAGGTTAGCAGGTTGAGACATCGACGTGTAATTCCATGTTGTATTTCTTTTTTTTCTCTGTTTTGGGAATCTCAAAACATTTGGTCCAAAAGGTGGAATCTCTCACCCCAGGAGCCCCCCATACCCCGATCCGACAAGATTTTTGGGAGGATGTTAATCACGGTGACTCAGTCAGCCCAATGATGGTAGGACTTTTTCCCGTGCGCACCAGAAGCCCAGCCTTATTTCAGGTTCTGTGACCTCCACACGGCCGCTGCGGGTTTCGAACCTTGATCATTTGGATCAAGGGAATCTCAAAACATTTTTCAACTGTCCATCGAGAAAGAATCCTTCACCCTGAGGAGCAATGGGAGTGAGCAACAATGTGTGGTGGCAGTGCTTTGTTGATTGAAACCCATAGCTAGCTGAAGAGGATCGAGGTAGATTCCACACGCAATAGGGTCTGAAAATTTGCACATGGGAGCCGCACGGGTAGCTCAATTGGTCGAGTGGTGGGAGATTTGGAACAATGGACCAAGGTTCGAATTTCCGCAGCGACCGGGTGGAGGTCATAGAAGCTGAAATAAGGCTGAGCTCTGATGCGCACGAGTGTATGAAACTACTGTCATTCTGCTGATTGAGTCGCCGTGACTAACCTCCCCACCATCCTGTCGGGTCGGGTGGGGACTCCTGGGAGATTCCACCTTCTGTAACCATGAAAATTTGCACATGGCACATCTCTCGAGAATCCAAAACAGTAAATCAGCAACACTTAGCAGATCTGTATCAAAGGTTGAGACATAAGTTTACCAGAGGGATTTCCATATGGCCCTTCTTCTCCGATAGAAGGATGTGAGGCGCCGCCGTACGGGTTCTATTGATGGTGCATCTCCTGTAGGCAACGGTGTTCTGGCGGTTATGCCTTGAAGGAGAATAAGAAATGGAAAAAGCACTGCCTTGAGTGTCTTCGTCGCTAAAACTTCCTTCCATCTCTGGGAGCTTACACAGAATACTCAAATCGAAGAAGTAGAAACAAGATGATCGTACGACTTAAAAGAAAAAAGTAAACTTGTGTTTTAGATCCTCACCCATTTTTTATCAATTTAAATAGGAACAAAAACAATTGAGAAATAAATTTGCAGAAACAAAAAAGCAAAAAATGATAGGAGGAGGAAGAAGACGATTAAGTCATTGAAGAAGACGACACAAGGAAGCGGAAGATCCACATGGATTTTTTTTAAATAACGTCACCTCAAAACCCATGTCAGCGTGTTACCGGCAAACTTGTTACCGGCTAAAAAGATGAATTGGGTATATTTTTATAGTTTAGGGGTTTAATTGAATGATTTTTAAGTAGTGAGGGCTTAATTGCTATTTTTGATATAGTACAAGAATTTATTTGACAATTTTCTCTATTAATTAAGATATTTGTGTATTTTGGCAACTGCTATTTTATTATAAATATATCTGTCAGGGCTCCTATTGGAACACGACTTTCCCATTATTCTCACATATTAAAATAAAATAAAATTCAAATAAAATGCATCTACCATCAAGACTGGACTTGTTCAATTCCGTGCTTAAGATCAAGTTTATAGGTACTGTGCATGTTTTCTTAATACATAGTACTCCGTATTAGTTTTTAAATATATCTTGTCCAAAAACCACATGATAACTTCTTTATTTAGCTTTGAAGCTTCTTTGCTTTGTACGTGTATTGGGCTTTACAAACCGTGCTTATACTGTGCAACTGGTTGAGCATCATACATCTTTTGTTATTTTTTATTTCTTCTTTTCTTAAAATTGTTAATAACTTTTTTATTTTTGATCTGATTTTTATAATTTCTTTTGCATGATCTTTCAAATGAGATCAATATTGTCTATGTAATTTTAACATATTAACATTTGCATGTAAAAATATGTAACTTTATGTGTTAAAATATGTAACTCACATTCAGTCATACCAAATGCAACTCGTGTGTATAAATATGTAACTCTACGTGTAAAAATATGTAACTTTACGTGTAAAAATATGTAACTTTACGTAAAAAAATATGTAACTCGCGTTCAAACAGGTCAAATGCAACTCATGTGTATAAATATGTAACTCGCGTGTATAAATATGTAACTTTAAGTGTAAAAATATGTAACTTTACGTGTAAAAATATGTAACTCGCATTCAGGCAGGCCAAATGCAACTCGTGTGTATAAATATGTAACTTTACGTGTAAAAATATGTAACTTTACGTATAAAAATATGTAACTCACATGTATAAATACATAATACAATAAATTTTTTATATACACAATTTTAAGATAAATTGTGATTTACACGATTATTTTTCTGTATTAACTTTATTTCGGTTTTCCTTATAATCCAATAATCATTTATATAATAGTTCCATAATTTGTTAAAATTACATAAGCAATATTGGTCTCATTTGATAGATCATGAAAAATAAAAAAATTTGATATAAAATTTATAAAAACCGGTTATCAAATAAAAAAGTTATTACAATTTTTAACAATAAAAAGAATAAAAAATAATGGAATCAAGCCACTGCAGGCCACTGCTGAGTCGTTTTGCAATCGGGCGCACCATCCTCATGGTGCGCCGGTTGCACGATATAAATGGCCGTTTACAGAGAATTAGTCCGAGCTAAAGGGAATATTTCAAAGCTATTATGTGGTTACTGGTTAAGGTTTTATGTGTCTAAATGAGTGTGTGTTTGATTCTATCTTTGAGATTAAATGGAAAGGGATTGATAATAGCAAAAGTAATTAGTGTTTGAGAAAAAAGTGAGTTATAAAAGTAAAAGTTTGAATATTTGGTACAAAGTTCTTATTGTGAGATACAAAAATTGAAAGACAATATAAATCACGAATCCATCTTCTAGCTTTTAGTTTATAATGCTTAATTTAAGCGGAAACAATTGTTTATCGGAAAACATCATTTTAAACTTTATTATTTTAGCTGTGGACGGCCGCACCCTAGAGCTCTCCAGAGTTTGCGTGGAGTTTTGGACAGTTTATCGCGGAAGGTACGGAGCAGTAGCAATCTATGAGGGTACGAAGCAGGCTTATAGGCGAGGGTAGTGAGAAGCACAGTTGCTGCGGCAACTATTTGTAGCGGAGGTCTGCGACGGAACAAACAAGCGACGCTAGAGAAGAGCAATATGCACTTTTTCGGTTAGTTCGAGTGCTTATTTGTACCTTTTCCCAAGAAAAGATATACATAGTACTTTTTTTTCACTATCTTTTCAGTTATCACCGTACCGGCCAAAGACCACTGGGGCAGTCCCCTATCCTGTTCATCTTCCTTGCCGATACCTGTCAGAAATAAACCCTCCTCTTCATCTCCTAAAGCCAGATGTTCATACCTCTCTACCAAATCATGTTGATTCTCCATATAGTTTTGACTGATACAAATCCCTTTGATAGCACCCAAAAACTAAGCAATTGATATGCTTCTTCTCGTTCGTACGTAGCCGACCAGCAAATCACAAAACTTTAGATCGAGAAAACCTATGTTAAAAAAATTGGACCGGGTCACGGCTCAACTTGGACCCGATAGCTCAACTCGATTGATGTCGGAAATTTGGTCAACATTTATAAGACCATATAAAATAATAAGGGTGTTTCTACGGTGCATCTATTAATTTTGAGGGTACGGAACACTTGCTTACTTGGACAAATAAGACTGGTACACATGGATTTTAAGATACACGAAGCATAATACGTAGTATTCCCGACTAAACAAGTCTGCTAATTTAAAGTATTTGTATTGCAGTCCTTCTACATTCATTTCAATTTGAAGGCACCAAAGGTTTTACAGCGGAGCTACGAAAGCAAAGTTGTCTAAAAAAATCGTGTGGCGCTATAAGATCTTCAAGCGGTAAAACTTCTCCATCTCAAAGTCCTCGATTTTATTCTGGCAGCATCGACCATGGTCGCTGTCTCCGGTTTACTGACATGCAAAATCATTCTGCATCAAATTGTAGTCTTGGTGCGCGATCATGACAGAAAACGAGGAAGAAGCCTGAAGAGCGGATGGAAGAATTGGGGCCTTGCCTCGCTCTATTACCTCTGTTTGTCTTTGTTTGCTTTCTTCTGAAATCACCATGTGCGCCCGCATATGTATAATTTATCGTCTATGCCGTATTGAAATCGTTAGCAATGGAAAGAACCTTGGCGCAAATACAAATACATATCCACATATAAACATATACTCCGTATGTTATAATATGTCCATTTGTTGCGGTTTTATTTGTCCACGTAGACAAATGTACCGTACACTAGAAATTAATGGATGCACCATAAAATTTTCCAAATAATAAACATCTAATTATAAATAAAATTACAATAAAAGGTAGTTATTATTCATAATAAATAACTAATGGTAATACACTAATACTTATTAGGGATCCCTGCTTATTAAGTATTTAAAATACTCTCCTAATATTCCAAAATATAATTGCGATCCTATTAAAAATATAGCGAAATACGTTTTGGAGTAAAAATAGGAGTAAAACCGTTTTGGAATTCCAAAATAGAAATGCCACGTTTTTATTCCTAAATAGGTATAATTACTGCCAAATTGGGAAAGTATTGCCATGTTAAATGACGCGCACTTGTCGTGAGTGCGTCAAAATAAATTCAATACTAACACTTATACGTAGTATAGCGTAGTAGAGTTCGTATCCACAGGGAAAAGAATGATTTTCTTTCTATGAAACTAGTAATTAAAAGGGGGGTTTTGGTTTTGAGTGATTTAATTTAATTAAGAAACTAAGATGAACAACCTATATGTGTTTAATTCAAAGATAAAAGGACTTGGCATTGCTACTTTCCACTTGTTGATATATTTTAGTCGATCATTGTTATATCTATAACTTATTCCCTCTCGAATACTCAATCGGGGAGTATATCCACTTCATCGAGGGTAGTTATTAACAACGACCGTTCATTAATAACCCTTACTATTAATCAAATATAGAACAACGCCTTATACCGATTTAACAGTAGCATTTAATCTTTCTAACTCCTTGATGAAATCAATTGAGATTGATAATCTCAACACAAGCGGTTTCGGTTTAACCAACATAATTAATCCCTCTTAAGTTTATTAACCACGACCGTGCATTAATAAACCGAAGTTACTTACTTGTGAAACCATCAACGATTAACCATCGGTTCGTTGATCGTTTCTAGTAATAATTAATATATGAAATAAAACTAGTTGATCCTTTAAGTAATGTTCAAAATATTAATATGAAATATGAGTAGGAATTAATTAATATTCAAGGAAGAATATTATTAAAGAAGATGAATCCTACTATAATTAATATCAAGATGTTAACTAATTGTCATCTTAGCAACACTCCTCAATATTAATATAGAGGAAGAAAATACCATTCTAACTAATGTCGAGATGTTAACTAATTGTCATCTTAGCAACACTCCCCAACATTAATATAGAGATGATATTAAGGAAAGAACTATTAATTAATATTCAAGGAAAGAAGTTAAGAAAATAACTCACAACTTTAATAATCAACAAGCTTCAAGAGCAACACCAAGAAGGGAAGTTTAGCTCCTCATTTGGAGACTAAACATAGCTAGAAAAATATAAAGAAATGCTATTCTAAACTGAGCTAAAGAGTATAGAAGAAGGGATGTTTTTTAGAGGAGAAAAAGAGTGCTATTTATAGGTGTTTTTCAACACCTTTGGCCGGGTACCCGACCGGGTATAGGTACATACCCGACCGGGTACCGGTCAAAATCAGATAATCTCCCACGTTTCATTGTTCCAGCACGTTAATTTGTCCCGGGTCAAGACATACCCGACCGGGTCAGATTTTTTCCACATCTTTGTGATCTTCAGCATGTTCTGGTGTTCCCGGTCATATCTGACCCGACCGGGTCGGGTAAGGGACCCGACCGGGTGAGTGCAAAAATTGGATATTCTTCACGTTCGGGTGATCTTTGCACGCCGGGTTGTCCCCGGTCACTTCTCACCCGACCGGGTGAGGTAGTGGGCCCGACCGGGCCTTGCACTTTCTTTGCATTTTCGTTTTTTCACTTCTTACCCGACCGGGTCAAGAGTTATACCCGGTCGGGTATTTGCTCCTGGGCAGCCAAATCTTCTTTTTCTTCACTTCAAAGTCTTCCTTTCCAACACCACAAATCCTAACTAAACTTTACAACTTACAGATAA